TCCTGGCTGAACCCAGCACACTCTAAACCCTGATCTTTGTGGAACATCTATGGAGTTCTTTGTTGATAATATAGCAGGAACATAGGCTAAGAAAACTCAAAGGGAGATGTTTAAAATAAAAATATCTTTTAATATATTCTTCTATAGATTGGGGACAAAACAGAGCCACTGTCCTTAACAAACTGTTAAGGCCATCCCCCTGCCTAGTTGTCTTTATGTATTTTTATTGTTACACACAGTAAGGCAGAGGTGGTGTTTGAGGCTAAGGGACATCATTACTTGACAAAGGAGAGCATTCAGAAATCAAAAAGATGAGAAACAGCAATATAGGTGGTACCTCAGGAAACGGGGATCATAGATATGTTTTTCTCTGTCCATTAATAAATTTTATGTTTATTCTACATATTTTTGAAGTAGTACCAATGCTCTTTGTCTCCTCTTTGCCTTTATGTCAGAGTTTCTGCACTACATTTGTTTTAAACTTCTTGCTTGAGAGACCTGTTACAGGCTATTGATTCAAACATGAACCTTTCTTTAACTTAGATCTTTCTTATAATCCCAGTTCTCTGTCAGTTATGTGGTGATCAGGCTTTGGAGCTATTCACTACATGAACAGCACAGATATGAGAAACTTCTATACGCATGTTCAATTCTTTCCCAGAACAAAGAAGGTAAGGACAGCTATTATTTTTTCCAGAATTTCATGTTTAAAATAACTTTTTTCCCTTTGGCAAGCATAGTAGGACAAGAGCATCTTCCTATACTTCTTCACTGATATCACCAATGTTAGGGAGGATGCTGGGAGCTGAAATATGTGGTTTTTTCCATGCTGAGCTAACAACCTTCTTTCTCCTGTCTACATATGAAGAAATATACTGTGATGGAGCAGCTGCCAACTAGGTCACCATGGCCAGAAAACATGTGACATTTTATAAATATGAATTACAATTACCTGCATTTTGTATTTTAAACACCAGCTTTGTTAGTCAAAGCTCTGGCCTGAAACAGAGTGAGCTTTCAGGGCGCTGCTGAAAGGAAGGGGGAAGGCACACAGCTGAGTCTGGAATTTGGTTACAGATTCCTACTGGATATCTACTGTTGTGAGCAGGTTTGAATCAAAGCTGCAATCTACTCAATGGAGTCATTCAGTGTTTTATATTATCTCTAAATTGAGGCTAGCATACTTCTAATCACAGAGTAGGTCCCATATTAAAGTGTACAATATAAAAAAGCATGTTTAAAATATATTGTTAGGAAAGAAATGTGTAAACTCCCATGGCTCATATTTCATGGCTTCAAATTCAAGACTGCTTACCTGGTTTTACCTTCCTCTGGGTTTCTAACTTAGTCATCTTCACTGATACGGATTGAAAAGCTGCTGGGTTTGATGAATAGGCGTCTTCCCCACAAGAGTTTTGAGAGGTAGCATCTGCTTGCCTTAAAATTTTCAGTCTGTTGTTTAGATGTCAACACTTTCAACAGCAATATCTCAACATCATTATTCTGTTAGCTCTGATCTTTGCACTGCATTGTGATGCTATCATACGTGCCAATATTACCAGCAATACAGCAAACTTGCTATAGCAATTAAGAGAAACATCAACAGAAAAAAATCCTAGGGTGATCACCTGTATGTGCTTTAAAGTTTGGGGTTTGGTTTGGTTTGGTTTTTTAATTGATGCAGCTGTAATGGATTTGGGAGTAGCATAGTTAACAGATAGCTCAGAAGAAGCTGCTGTTTCCCTCTGAGGTGGCTGGGGAAGCACGTTGTTACTTAACAGTAGCTAAAGACATCTTTAGTGCTGCATTTTGAATGGGACCAGCCAGCATCAGGCTGCCCAAGTAAGAAATTGAAGCTGGGAGACCCGGGAGGGTTGTGTCCCAGGGTGGAACATGCCCTCACCAACAGCACAGGCTCACAGAGGTTGAACACATCGCCAGAGCTGGTGCTGGTTAGGGGGTTCATCGACAGTCTCAGACACAGCTAGTGATGAACCAGGTCCAGGGTCCATCCCTGGACAAAAGGAGATAGGGCAAGAGACAGGGCTGGAGCACAGGTCCAAAAAGCCAATCCAGCAGATGGGCTACCTACAGTACAGATCTCAGGTCTGTCCGTGAAGCAGAGATGAGGATGGAGAGTAGCAGTCCTACAGCATCATTCAGATTAGGACCGATAGCCCTGGGCTGACCTGAATGGGCCTGTAGGCAGGGGGTGGGTGAGGAACCCAGGTGAGGCCTCTCAGGGACATTAAGACCTGTTAGTGCTCTCAGGCCCCTAACAATTCTGTGGCTTTCATGAGACTGAGATGTTTGCCAGTACTGCTTTTGATTCTTGAAAATCTTGTCCTCTCTTTGAAACATGAGAGAGAAAAAGCAGAAATGAGAAATTAAAAGCAGCTGTCCTCTTTCAGGTGACACGTTATATTTTCATTTCTCCACATGACACAGAGGAGACTTCTTTCAGCAGAGTTCTGTGAGGAATGTTTATAGAAAAGTTCGAATCAGATCCTTTACATAGCTACCAAGTCTCTATGCCGAAACTATGACCAAAACCATTGAACATCTTTTTAACATTTTGGTAGATTAATAAAATTTATGGAGGCAGCATCCCAAGTTACAGACTAACCTGAAATGAATATCACAAAGACCTATTAGATTCTGTAGAAAGATTAATCTGTCCCATAAGCATGTTAAAAATAGCAAAACTCACTGGATATGCGAGGCATCAGTGTGCGTTTGCTCCTGTTGACCACAATCTACGGTTTTTATTACAGACAGTGGAAGAATTAGGCAGCGACACTTGTTGCAGAATTTGCTGTAGCATAACATTTGTAAATGAGTAAATAAACCAGTATAGCCCTTAACTGCTGTTTATTTAAAAAAAAAGAAAGAAAAAAGAAAAGCTTTACTAATTTACAGGTACCGTACTTGCTAAATAAACTATGCACAAAGACAAAGCTGCAGAAAGTTCCAGTGGTAAATTACCTTTTATTTAAAAAAAAAAATAGTTGTCTTGAAAAAAAAAATCAAATTAACATTCCCTGCTCTTTATACCTTTTTAACTTTTATTTTGGGGAATGAAAAAATCCTTAGCAATACAGATACATTATATTTCTTCATTATCACTCAGCACAAGCTACAGCAAATGTACCCACAAATATTGAGGCCAACCACAGGCAATAAAATCAATCTCTTTTACATATTGCTATGAAAAGTTGCAAATTGCTGTCGGGCTTTTGAGGGCCTAGATGGCAGTGTAGTTCTTAGTGTAATTAGTCAATTTGATCTTCTCTGGGAAGATAATATTAACTGACAGGTTTTCCCCATTGTTAGATTTCAGAAAAAAGTTCTTTTTCTTGCGTAGGAGATGACTATATTTGGCATTAGCAAGCCACATTTCACATTTTGAAAAAAATACAATCCCAGTTGTACCCAAGACAACAAGACATGTCAGCAAGCCCAGTACAACAAAACATATCACCTGGCTTCTACTGAGCAAGGGATCTGCGCTTTGGATTGTTTCTTTCATTGTTATTTTCAGGATTTCTTGTTGGTGATGAACTGATCTGTGATGAGCTTTTGGGGGTGGCTTGTAATTCTGCATGTGCTTTGTCTCCATCTTCACCCCAGAGAGGCTTGCGTTTTTGCGGGGATGATTGCAGGTCAAACCAACAAATTCTGGTTTACAGATGCATTCAAATCCTCCCTGGGGATGTTCACTGCATGTGCCTCCATTGTCACATGGGCCACTTGCACAGAATATGACACGGCTGCTGCAGAGCTTTCCTGTATAGCCATGGGGACAAAAACAGCTGAAACCTACACCAATATCTGTACATGTTCCTCCATTTTCACAAGGATTAGAGTCACAGTCATCTCTATCTATTTCACAGAAGTTGCCAGCAAAACCAGAAGGGCACAGACAGGAAGCATGTGGTGCAAAACCATTGTCATCTATGCATGTTCCACCATTCTGGCAGGGAGAGCTAGAATAGATAACAAACACAATGACAGAATTGAATTAATGTTGAATGAAAGAAGCTATTAGGAAACACTATATAATAAAGAGCTGGTTTTCTTTAAAAGAGCCAATTCCAAATGCAAATCCAGTGAAGTCAATGAAGTTGAATCAAGAATGAGTTTGTTCAACAGCTTTGTCAATACAAATTATAATATCTTCTGCCGACCCTTCGGGCAGGATTAGTACACCAGTATATAAATTGAAGAGCTGTGAAGGGATTTTAAATTATTTCTAACATTTATGCAAATTAAGCTTCTCAGTGTTTTCATATGCTTAGAGCAATTTAGCTTAGTAACTATTCAGACAAGACTGAACAAGGACACTAGCAGCATGGCTTTGTTTTCCACCTGGATATTCATAAGATAATCTATGTATTGTATTGGCAAAGGAGAATACTCTGCCAGAGAAGATAGATATAAAGCTGTTTTTATTCTGCCTCTAGAGTGCTCCATGACATACACAAAATTTAATGGCAAACTTTCTTGATACCACCAAAGATCTTGATAAATATAATTCTAATAAAAAATATAAATGCAATAATTTCAGCCTTGGAAAAGGCAGCTGTAATATGAGGACAGGACTATAGAAACCCAAGTATTCTGCAAACCCTTTAGGGACTTAATTATTAATAGCCTGGTACTATGTTTTAAGTGATGTTAATTCAGTGAGAGATCTTTTTTTTCGCCTTTGTGATGTGATTGTGCCCTACTGGGTGTAAGGCCAAAAGATAGGCCAACCCATTGACAGAAAGGCACAAAGGTGGCAATTCAGTGGAGCTATTCTATGTGGACTTGGTCTGTTAACTGGACCTGTTAGCAGAAAAGGGGCCCTGGGTCATAGGTTTACAAGTAAACCTCAAAACCCACTTTTACAACAGCTCATCATATATGAACAAAGCTTTCAAAACTTACCTTCTAAAAATGAATTTCAGGCATGAAGAAGACAACATAACACTTGGCAAAGCTTACAACAAGCTTCACTGGCAACAACAGGTTTTCTAATACTCATAAATCACTGAAGACATACAGCATAGTGCCAGCACATAGTTGAAAAGCCCAAGCTGTTATTTAAGTGTTACATTTCCTGGAGAAAGACCCAGGGTTAACAAGTATCACAGTTGCATGAATGCTGACATTTCACATATGCATTGCAATTGGCCATTATGTATTTCCATGGTGGAACACAGAGCTTTAAGAGATTTGTTGATGTCTGAGTGAGATGACTATGAAAGAGATATAAGGTCCTGACTACAAATGGTCCCTGACCACCAGTCAAGGTAAGGTTGAGCTTCTCAAATCCCAGCCATTCCTCTGGGAGTAGTTATGATGGAGAATGAACCAAGCTTTACTGGGGACTGAAACATTGTTGGCCATTCATCAGGACAGCCTGAATATCATGGTAGAGAAATCACCGTTTGCTGCTTCCACATCAACTGCTCTGACCTCTTGTATCATCCTTCACTGTAGATGTTGGCCGGGAAATAAAGATACTGCAAGAACAAATTGGAAGTCTGGAAGCAGTATTAGGAAAGCAAAAGGTGTGGTTGTCCGTGGCATTTGACATAGCAGTTTGTGACAACTTAAGGCGATCATGCAAATAAGGAATTTTGCCACAATCACTAGCCACTGTGCCTGCTTTAAGCAAAATATGGAATCTGTATTTGTACAGTTCTTGTGTAAATGATTGGTTATGGTCTTCTTGGAGAGATGATCTCATCCCTTAATCATCTCCATAGCCCTTCACTGGACTCACTCCAATATGTCCATGTCCTTTTCACAGCAGGGAGCCCAGAACTGGACTGAGTGCTCCAGATGCGTCTCACCAGGACTGAGCAGAGGGAAAGGATCATCTCCCTCAACCGGCCAGCAATGCTGTTCCTAATGCCCCGCTTCTCTTAGAGAATGGAGAGCAATGGCCTCCAACACTGTTCTGGTGGAAGTGGGATTATCCCCTCCAGTAAACTATGCACATACCATTATATGTCAGCTAAGAAAATGACAGGCTGGTGGACTAAATGGTTTTGTGCAGGCAGCTTGTGCATTGGCTACTGGTCTAATTCCTGTATATGGTTTGTATATACAATTATGTCTCACTGGACATGAGACCATAGCAGGGGAAGTTACTTCAAATTTGTTTACCAAAATTGTGGGAAGACATAAACTCAGAAATACAAAATGTGAAAATGGTTACTTTTAGTACTCAAATTATGCACACAAACTCATGCTGATAATCTGTCAACCTTTACAATCAGATTTGTAAAGTTTGATAAATATATCAGCATCTAGCAGAAGCATTTTAGCACAAAGATACTTTCACTTAGCAAAGAATTCAGAGTAATAGTAAAGGTGTGGATTTAAAATTCATGTCAGAAGTCAATATTTACCCATTAATAATGCAGGGTCCTTTTTTGAGATGGCAGTTTTTTCCTGTAAATCCCTGGGCACATAAACAACTATATCCTCCATCACCCGTCTCTATGCATGTTGAGTTATTGGTGCAGGGCTTTCCAGAACATGGGTGAATATCTGTTTAAAAAAC